ATATTACAACGGTCGATTTCGAGAAATAAATTTATCGGAAATAAATTTGATGTGCGACAGTAGAAAAGAGAAAGAAAAAGAGAATAAATCATGTAATAAATTGTGTGTGTAATAATACAATAAAGTATAGTCCTTTTCGCAAATATGTCTGTTACACATTTTGTTAACTATTTCAATATATGTATACGATAAAAATATTAGAATCGAAATGATGACCAACGAAGTTCTACGTTGGTAGAATGCAATGTATGAGACTTTCTGTGCGAAAAGCTGGAGTTGATCCCCAGCCACTTTCCGTTAGGAGATATTTGCTCATATTTTCTTTTTCTTACAACATAAAATATACGCCTAATGTAATCTGACAAATTTAATTAGAATAAAAAATTTTTAATAACATTTTATTTGCAAAATAAAAATGGCGTTGTATATTTGTGAATTTTTATCATGGTACGGGTGTATCTTTAAAAATATGAACAATTTATATATCATTGGACATTACATTGGATTTATTATATTACACTTGTCATCATCTATGTTCTGCTGGAAAGCATCCTTGAACTTTACAAAATTAATTTACGTATAATATTGTTGTGGTCGAACGGTGGTCCGCTTGCTTTTGGTCCCCAAGTAATATTAAGAAGATTATTCCTTGCCAACGCACCGTTGTTATGTTTATTGATTGATTGATTGGAGAGATTCATCAGAGAGAATTGTGAGACGGGTTTGAGAGAAAACGCACGAGCGAATTGCGAGCGCGAGATTGTATCACGACCTGTGTATTAAGTTGTTGTGCTATTAAAGTTTGTTGTTTTGTAAACGGCTTCTGTTTATTTCCGCGTGACACGCGAGTGCAAGTTGTGCGACCGCCGCGGAAGTGTGACAATATACGAGGGTAGTCTGAAAAGTTTTGAGCTTTAACATGAAGATGACGTTACTCGTCAAATCGTCAAATCAGTCACGTCAAAATCATTCTAATACTACAATAGTATATGCTTTGAAAGACTTTTGTGAAAATTTCAGCCATTTTGGACGCTCAGTTGTTGTTTGACAGTCGTTTGTGTCAGTCGATGTCAGTGTTTTTGTAAAAATGGAAAAATCGAATATCATGTCGTGATTAAATTTTTACATTTGAAAGGCAATACACTTGCGCAAATTAAAATCGCTGTTTACGAGTTGGACGCTGTTTACGAGGACTCTGCCCCATCATTTGCCACCGTAAAAAGATGGGCAGCTGAATTTAAACGTGGTCGTATCAGCTTGGCTGATGATGAGCGTTCGTTTTGGGACGGCCAAAAATTGCGATAACCGCTGATAACATCGAAAATGTTCATCAAATGGTATTGGACGACCGTCAAATCAAGGTTAGAGAGATAGCAGAGGTATGAGCATATCGAAAGAACGCATTTGTCATACACACATCAAAAAAAAGTGTTGCATCACTCCCGACTCTAAAGGACTGTGTTATTGATGCAATATACACATTCAACGTCAGTGTTCAGGAGAGCTTGGAATCGAGGTGATGCAACATTTTTTTTGATGTGTGTATATTGACTGAAGAATTGGATATGCGCAAGCTATTCGCGCGTTGGGTGCCGCGCTTGCTCACTTTGGACCAAAAACGAATTCGAATGAACATTTCCAAGGCCCTGTTGGAGCGGTTCAAGCGAAACGAGTCAGATTTTTTGCATCGATTCACAACTGTAGATGAAACTTGGATCCATCACTACACTCCAGAGACAAAAGAACAGTCAAAACAGTGGACTGCAAAGGGTGAACCTGCTCCGAAAAAGGTGAAGACGGTTCCATCAGCTGGGAAGGTAATGGCGACTTTTTTTTGGGATAGTGTATATCGACTATCTTGAAAAAGGTAAAACAATTACGCATCATTACTTGATAAGCTGAAGGCAGAAATTGCAAAAAAAACGGCCGCATTTAAAGAAGAAGAGAGTGCTGTTCCATCAAGACAACGCACCTGCTCACACTTCGGCGGTCGCCATAGCCAAAATTCACGAACTGCACTTCGAATTGGTTGACCAGCCACCAGATCTGGCCCCCAGCGATTTTTTCCTGTTTCCTAAGCTTAAAGTTTCGCTTGGAGGACAGAGATTTTCATCAAACGAGGAGATCATCGCATACGTAAACGCCTATTTTGAGGAGCAAGACGCCAACTACTATTTGGAGAGGTTAAAGAGGTTAAGTATCGCTGGGAAAAGTGTATCGACTTAAAAGGAGATTATGTTGAAAAATAAAACTATATTTGACCGAAAAAATACTTGTTTCTATGTTATGCTCAAAACTTTTCAGACTACCCTCGTATTCAATATTAGCAGAATTTTTTGTTGAAAATAATTCCAAAATGATAAAAGAGAATGTAATCGATATATATAATCTAGACTATAATTAAGTTTCCAGTTACTATTACGAAGAAGTTAATTACGAAGAAGGATATAAAAAAATGAAAAATATTAATGAAAAAGTAAAAAAAGAAAATATCTTATTAAAACGTAGAATAAAAAAATCTAAAGAAAAAATTAAAACACTAGTTAATAGATAAGTCTTTTAGAAAATAAAAGTGACAGACTACATTTTATAAAAAATTTAATTTCTGTCCGAACGTTATAAAAAGTAAACGAATGTTAAACGAATGAAAGTTAATGGTAAAGGAAGAAGATTTGATACATTTTCTAATGATTTATATGCATTTTCTTTATTTTTACATTTTTATTCTTCAAAAACATATGAATATGTTCGACAATCTTTCAGAAATATATTACCTCATGTAGAAACATGAGGTCATAGTGGTATAAATGCCGAACCAGGATTTATTGAAAATTCTTTTATTGCTCTTTATTTGCAAGCATTAAAAGCAGAAGAAAAAATAATAAATTAATGTGCGCTGTAATGATTGACGAAATGAGTATAAAAAAGTGCATTAGAACGCGAGATGGTAAAGTATACGGCTATGTTAACTTAGGATCTCAAAATGTAATAAAATCTCCATCACAAAACTCAGACGCAAAGGATGTATTAATTTTCATGTTCCCTTAAATGCTCAAATTCCTATTGGATATTTTTTGTTGAATGGAATATCAGCAGAATTAGTTCTATTAGTAAAAGAAGCTTTGGTTAGACTACATTTAGCAGGAGTAAAAATTTGTTCTTTTACTTTAGATGGAACAGCTAAGCATTTCAAGTTAGTACGTCTACTTATGTATTTAGTTAGTACATATACTTTATTGCACTTGGTGCAATTATGACCGGTGATTTAAACAGTACATCATTTTTTTTCATCTTGTAGAAAATGAATTACTTCTTAATGTTATATTTGATCCTTGTTACATGCTTAAAAACATACGTAATTGTTTTGAAAAATACTTGATATTATTAGATGGCGATAATAATGAGATAAAATGGGAATTAATAGATAAACTTGTGTGTATTCAAGAAAAGTGAGGGGACTTTAAATTAGTAAATTAAAATAAATTAAGG